ACCTCTACACCACCAGGGAGGCCTCTAAGAATGTTTTGATCCACACTTTCGGATCAAAATGGTTTGGGATCAAAAAAATTTTGGTATTTTGAACTCTTGACCATGTAACATACACTGAGAAATAATGTGAACGCCACAGCCTAGCCTCATACGTGTTTTGTAATTGAAATAAAATATTTAAGAAATACTACTGGTATTTACATACCACTATACCAATCTGAAATTTTCAGTAGAACTCATTAATCATTAAAGACTGTTCATGTTCCATTAATTTTATGGGACGCACAGATTGAAGAGCATTACTTGAGTCAACCCTTCGTCACTGAAAATCCTGGCCTGGTCACTAAGGACACTTGATGAACTTGCTGTGGGCGATAACCTTTGCACTTCCATCTTAGGAAAAGCCCCAGGGCCTGTGGCCCATTTACCTCCTGCTCTTAGCTCCTGCCTCTCATTCTTCCCGGCTCCACCTTCCTGCCTTCCCCCAAAGCCACAGGCCCCCTGAGTGGCTTCTCAAAGCCGGGATGGATGCGAGATCTGGACAGACTGCGTTCGTTTGGTGCTTGTAAAGCTTAACATCTAGAGAAGCAAGTTTAGCCTACAGCGTGTCTGTTTCTGAGCGCGTTCAGGTGACTGCTGAGATAATGGAATTGCTGATCCTCTGCTCAGAGCTGTTTGGTAACTGTTTTTTTATTATCAGGAAGGCAAATGCAGTTTTTAAGATCAAAGTGGACACCTCCTGGAAGCTCGATTTATTCCAAAAAGGCTAAAGTGTCCACGACCCTAGGAATCAAAGGAGTTGAGCAGAAAGGAGGAGGGTTCAACAGATAGATGGGGTTCTGACAGGACAGCAACCTCCTCGGCGGGTGACAGGAGCAGAGGTAATTTAATTCTGCCCGTTACCAACTCCGTCAGCTCCGGAGTTGAACAGAGGCCGGATGCTGGATTCGCCACAGTCGGCACCTGCTTGACAAAATCTCAAGTGCCAGTGCAGGGACTGAGGAGCTTTTATGATTTGTTCCACTGGAGAGTCTCTGGCAGTGTTGTGAGCTCACTTCTGCAGAAGGGCCCTGCCCTCTGCTATTATAAGTGCCGGGTCAGTCACCACACAGCGTCAGATGGGCTTTTGCCAACGTGCCCACCATAGGCACCTTGCACAGCTGTCCCCTTGGTCTGGGGACAGAGGCCAGGTGGCTCCTCAGGCGTCTGGATGGCTGTCAAAGGTGCAAAGAATGCAGGTTATTTTAGGGCAGTCAAGGCCCTTGGAGATTTTGTCCTTAATCCGTTTTCCTCCTCAGTAAAGCAGTTACCGTTTTACCTGGAAGAATATAGTTTGGGAGTATCGACAAGGAGTAGGTTTATCCCCCTGATCATCTCTTCTTCACTCAAGGTGTAAAGATGAGGTCTCCCCTTCTTGTCTGTCCTGTGACATCTCCATGTCTCAGTCCTTGACGCCGCAGGTCCATGAATACAGGAAAAACACGCCTGGCCATTCCATTCTTTACAGTTTATAACCATGTGAATTCTCCACCTGCATGTTATTAAACTTTGGCCTTTTCTCCTACTCATCTGTCTGGTGTGTATTTGTGTATCTGTCCAGAGTCAGAAGCAACCAGATGGGATGGGGAAAATCCCCCTTAAGCCCCAACAACTGGAAGAGAGGCTCATTATAATTTAGTCACTGCACCAGAATTTGGAAAGCCATCTTGGATGCATTCTAGTTCTAAAACGTGGCAACCTGTCTGGTCAGCTGCCTTATTTAATGCAACAGGCTGATCCCAGGAACACAGGGGTTCCAGGTTTCCTGCTGAGCAGAGAGAAGCTACAGAAGACTGAAGGAGAACAAGGAGGAGACCTGGAGGAGGCCCACACCTGGAGGATGTGAGGAAGCTGCCGTGCTTCACAGCCTCACACTTCCACCAGAGACATGGAAGAGACAGAGACCCGTGGGGAGGCGAACAATGGCAGCCTTCATCTCGACTTGCATTCTGATGCTGTTCCTTTCCTCCCAGACTTGCCGGGTCCCTTCTGCGCCTTTCCTACGGTCCCCACCAGAAAGTGCCTGAGGCTTGTGGCAGCCTTTCGGGTGTCAGTGGTCTGCTTTGGGCCATTCCTGTTTGGTTGGGCATTTACCCATGAGGGGATGCGTAACTTTGGAGGTTTCATGGTAAACTATTTTTTTTTTTAAGATTTATTTATTCATACAGAACTGGAGTACAGGTCAGAGATGCGGAGGGTGAGAGGATTCACCAGAGACAGAGTGGGGAGCAGAACAGCAGATCGACGAAGTACACTGCTGAGGGGAGCAGCGGGCGGGTCAGGAGAGGTCTGCCAATGCAATGTGGATCTTCTCCGGGGCAGGCGGGAATCAAACTCATGCGGAAGTGGCCTAAGCTTCTTAGTGCAGTGCTTTAACCCACTGCGCCACCAGGGAGGGCCCTCATGGTAAACTATTTTAACTATATTCTTTTTCTTCTTTCTATTGCATGCACGTTGCATGAAAGTTCCTTTCCTTTGAAGGTCTTATTTATACTGGAGCATGTTCTGTCTTGAGGTGGCACGTGGGAGAGCCCATTTAAAGCAGGGGGCCCTAGGGTGGCCTTTCTTGTGCCCAGTAACAATTTTACCTGTTCCAGGTCCTTGTGCATCCTCTCCTCAGCCCCAACTTGGCTCTAAATCACGTCAGAAGCCCCTTTGCCAAGATGTTCAGTGACTCCCTTCAGGGAAGTCTGAAGAGCTTCTGTCAGCTGTGCCCACTTCAGATACCTACTAGAAGCTCACACTAAAAACCTTTAGTCATTCTCAACAGTCCCCAAATCTTGAGGGAAGCATTCAGAGGAGCAATAAGGGCCTTCATTATTTCTTCTCAGAAACACTCCAGCAGTATGAAGGTGTGAAGAGGTCTACCTTCAGAAATTCTGGGTTCTTAATGAAGGTGTTTCATATCCCTGGAGAAATGATTTCTCACCCTTTTTTAAAAATCAGGCTACTGTTTTCAAAAATCCCCTTTGATGTGCCCAAGAGTTTATCTTTTTGGAGACTAGAGTGGGAGGAAACAGTTTCCCGTTGTTTACTGTACTGTAAAATGTTTGTGTCTGTTACGTTGTGACTTATAACAAGTATGTATTTGCTGTTAGGCCTGTGTCTGGCACAGAGCTCCTGAGATCCTTGGAACTGTCTCTTTGGTGGAAGGGACAGAGGTGTCTTTTGTTAGGTTATCAAGGTAACTTCTGGAATGCGCCTAGCAATGGGGTTGGTTGTCAAGGGAACTGACCTGTGATGAGATGGCTGGCAACTTGGCTTCCACCCTCCCAACCCCACACCGCCTGGGGAAGGAGAGGGGCTGGAGGCTCCATCCTCCTCAGGCACCTGCGGCCAATGCTGTAATCAGTCATGACTGTCACATGGAGCCTCCATAAAAGCTCCGAGAGGGTTTAAGGAGCTTCTGGGTCGGGGGTCCCTGGAGGAGCCGGGAACAGGGTTTGCTCTGAGAGGGCAGAGGAGCTGTGTCCTTGCCCCATACCTCGCCCTCTGCATCCTCCATTGGCTCTCACTGAGTTGTATCCTTTCCTAGTCAACCATAATTAGTGAGCAAACTGTTGTTTTCTGAGCTCTGAGTGCTGTTCCAGCAAGTTGATTGAACCCAAGGAGGGGGCGGGGTTGTTGGAAACTCCAATCTAGTTTACTGTAATTACAGGTGATAGATAACCTGGGCTTGCCATTGGAACCTGGTTGGGTGGGGGGAGAGAGTGTGAGCATGAGTGTGTGAGTGACTGCAAGTCTGAGTGTGTGTGAGAGTGTGTCAGCGTGTGTGAGTGTGAGTATAGGTGACTGTGTGTGTGTGAGTGTGTGTAGGCTACCTTGTAGTACTGAATCCATAATTTGTGGAACCTGACACTATTTCAGATAGTGTCAGAACTGACTTGAATTACAGGGCACCCCGTCTCAGACAGTGTGGCGTTGGGAGACTTGCTTGGATTAGTGGGAAATCCCCCTTGGACACAGTTTCAGTTGGATCCAGGGCCTAAGTGAGTGCTGCAGAAGTGGTGTTCGTGCTCGAGAACATCTCTCCTGCAAACTTTACCGCGCATATTATTGATAAAGAGACGACAGTGGCTTCATGCATCTTACAGACACCCTCTTGATCACAGGCATTTTTCTTGTACTAAAAAAACATGTAATTTTTTAAATTATAAAAATTTTAATAAGCTCGAAAAGGTGCAATGTGAGGAATTGATATTAACGTGTTCTGGACAATCCCAGGAGAGACATTTGAAAGGATTCACCACTAACCATTACTGATCCTAGTCATTTGGCAAAGGAAGTCACCTTTTGTTTGTCTTGATGAATTTAACTTTGTAGGGATCAGTAGATGATTGTAAAGTCCTATCTTTATAGAGCTTAAATTAGCAGCAGGACTTTCGAAGATGACTTACTGTGGAGATAGCATTTTGACAGGATTCCCCACGTTTTAGTGATGGGAGCACCTTCGTTTTAGTGATGGGAGCACCTCCTCAGGAGCGCTACCTTCCCTCAGCGAGAGCAACTGCCACCAGGCACAGAACATAGACTGCAATGCTGTTTCCTACTTGATGCCAATCCCCAATTAAACCAAAGTAGAATAATGAAAGAATCCTTAAGGGGAAAGTCAAGCAGAATAGAGAGAACTGAAAATCAAAGAGAACATCTCAGAGAGTCAGAAATGGAGAATATGCATTCCTTCTCCACACATACTCTGTAAAACCTGCATTTTCCTGATTCTCCTCTGCATACGTGCTCTCCTGCTTGGCAGAATTAGAAAGGGCTCACCCGTACATTCAGCACAGCTTGCAAATCTCTACAGCTTGTCGGTTTGCCCCTTGCCCAGTATTTTGCAGATTGTCGCCACTTGTTTTATGTCATATTTTTAGCGGTAACTACCCTTGAGGGTCTGCACTTGACGCCCCTGGAATGAGTTACCTGCCCTCTCTCCCTGGGCCCCTCCCTGGGCCGCTACTCACTCAAAAGGGTCGCTGGGATCTGCCCTCTGGAGCTCTGGAGGGATGGGGATTCTTTTGTAGTACATTTCCCAGTCGAAGGCGCCTCGCATGGCATCCCCGGCTTGTGCCTCATACCCAAAGTGGTTGTGGTCAATGACATCGATCATGGGGCACACGATGGTTTTGTGGTTTAGTGCAATTTGGTCTGAAAAATGAAAGCACAAAATAGGAAATGACATGCCTGTCTAGGTCATCTGTCACTTTGCAGCCGCGCGCTTGCTACTGATGGGCAATGCAGGTGACCCCTTGTGGCCACTGGGCTCTGGGCGGGGTCTGGACTTCACCCGATGGGACAGTGATTAGCTACAGTAGTGTGGCTGTATTTTCCTTTAAGGAAGTCCTGTCGCAGAGGGACTTGGAAGAGTCCATTTTGCTCCACTGCTGCCACAGTTTTGCTCCGACCTGTCCCCAATCTGTCATTTTATCGCACATCCAACATGCACGGAGTATGAATGGTTCTTGTGTTCCTTCAAGCATATGGCTGGGTCTGCTGAGAAAGTACCTGCCTGCCTTCTAGAGGTTTTAAAATGTAAATATTTAACTTCATGTCTTTTTTTTTTTTTTTTTTAGCTTCTAATCTTACAGTGACCTTGATGGCTGTCCTCTCCAAATGCCAGGAGATCAGCCAAAGGATTCTGTGCTCTCAGGCTTACCAGAGACTTCATCAAATCCTACTTTGCTCTTGTTCTTTGTTATAGCCTCTGCTTATCAGGGCCTATACTTTGCTCTCCTATCACATTCAGAAATGCATTAGAGTGATTGATATGACCACTGTATTCCTGCTACCTTTATATTCTTGAACAACTACTAAGTTATTCACAGCCATGCTATTTTTAATCGCCTTGCTACGTCTCTGAGGTGGTATTACCATTCCTAACTCAAAAATGAGGTTCAGAGACCTCAAAAGATGTGTCAAAGGTCACTCATTTTTAGAGTGCAAGACCCAGGATAAAAGACTGTGTGAAGGGCTGAGTCCTAAAACCTTCTTTGCTCGCCATGGGGCTTCTCATGTGGCAGAAGGGGGTGCTCTTTTCAGTTGCATCACCCTCCTTTTCCACGTTGAGATCATTATTATGAGGCACAGAGAACTGGGGTCGGCACATGGGATTCACTAAGAAAGGCTAGATGTGAACTATTTTCTTCCTGAAGAATATGCGTTGAATGACATTTGTTATGACAGACTAGACCAGTCTAATAGAACTTTCATTAAGCATAAACATTGGGTTATTGGGAAGACCTTGGTTAATAGCATGTGGAATAAAATATCTTTAAAAAAGAAAAAGAAATCTACTGTTTAGGAAGAATGAGGTGTGGTTGTTTCAGTATTGTTATTTTCATGACATCAGGGTGTGACAATGCCAGCATCTTGTGGCATCGTTCTCTCTTAGATCTCTGTCCTTTTCATTCATTCATCCTTCCATTCATTCACGTTCACCAGCTGTCTACTGAGTAGAAATCATGTGCCTACCACTGTTCTAGATTCTGGGATTATAGCAGGGAATGGTGACGCACACACACAAAAATCTGTCTTCAGGAATGAAACCAAGGCAATCAATATACATGATAAATGGCTAAGTGATGCATAGTATGTTGGGAGGTGATACATGGGATGGAAGGGAAATGAGGCAAGGCAAGGAAATGCGGACGCTGGCATGCGGAGAGCCTGCAGTTTTAGGTAGCATGGCCCGGTGGGCCTTGGACGGCCTGGGGGTCACCTCAATCCCATTTCAGTTAATCAGCAGAGAGACCCCCTACCCCAGGCCAGCACTATTTCGAGTTAATCTCCACCAAGGGCTCAAGGAACATCCATTTTCACCTGGACAAGCCTTACAGTGGGTTTTAATCTTTATCTAAATGGTATTTCCTCCTGGATGTCTTTGACAGAGGAGACCATCATTGCTGTGTCCAAAATATTTCTTCTATCATTTCTGCAGGTATTTTAGTATTAAGGTCTCAGTGACTTTCTTCAATCAAATTCAGAACCTGGTTGATTTACAAGTTCCTTGACCAACAAGGAGTCCCAAGGTGACCCAAAGAGAATGAGTCTGTTAAATTAACTGTCAACTTTTCCTCAAATTTCCTTCCTGCTCTCAGCCAGCCGCACTGGCTGGGGTGAACAGCATGACTAATTTCTCATCTAAGGCTTGTGCCTACATTTCAATTTCCAGGGATCAAACAAACAGACTCTTAATGGGAAATTGAAATTCAGGTATAATCCCAAGGTGAAAAATGAACCAAGAAACGGCCTGGCTCCGCCCGCTTTTTCATTTTGGATGATGTGTTGGACACTGATAGAGGAAAATAAAAAAAGATTGTGATCCTGAGCTGGAATCATTTCTTATCCATCAGGCCTACAGGAAATGAAATGCTTTAATGAGACAAAGTGGGTTTCTCTTTACTCTCTGTCTTTTGCTTTTCCCCCCCTCTGTTTTCCCTTTGCAGATTTAGGTGAACAATTAGGGGCTCAATAATTGGCATTTAGAGATTGCTCTGCTTCATAAATAAATTAGGACTCTGGCTCACTTCCTTGAGGATTCAACAGCACACAGGACAAATTCAGTTTGAGGGAAACTCACCATTGCTGATGAAATTCTAAATTGCTATGTCCTTGAACAAGCTACTTTTAATTAAAAGCTCAGAGAAGTCTCTGGCCTCAGGAACTGTGAAACATTCCTGTTGATGAGGATGGCGGGGCTTTGGTCTGCAGGAACTTGTGGGTGGGAGGTGTCGGGGCGGGCTAGTTGCGGGTTGCCTCCTACTTGAAGTACTATGCAGTTCAGTTGACCTTCCCCGTTCACCCCTCCTCCCCCCATCTTTAACAATGGCGTTTTCCTGGTTCTAGCTGAAATCCTACACTGCCAAATAGCAAATCATTCTTTCTCAGGCAACTGTTGCAGAGGCTTATTTCCAAAATCAGGGATCTATCTACAATAAAAGTTGGTTTAATGAAATCTGGAAGACTAGAAAGAAGGACGATCTGCACACACCAAAACTTTTGAAAGAAACACCTGTTTTTTTTAGGCTTTCAGTTTATGTTTGAGTCACTAGTGGACTTTATATCTGACTTTACTGGAAATAAAAAGCAAGACAGTCCAGTTTGCATTGAACCACACGTATGTTTTCTAGGTCGAAGGACTTCCAGTTCTTTCTTGTGTCTAATAGTTCAAATGCAAGGAGACAGAGCCACCACGTGACCCTCTCCTTAGCCACTCTATGAGCATTGGAGGGAAGGGGCTCTCCGTGCACCAGACGTGCAGTGGTGGTATTTAGGATCACGTGCTGAGGGCTAAGGCTGGCGCCCAAGTGGAAAGGAGAACTGGTATTATACATCTCAGAAAATGTCAAGGTGTTTTAGCTGTAATCTGGGGCTGAGTAATTTTCCTAGGTCCTAGCTAGCCTATAATAATTGTTAAACTGTGCATGTGTGCATTTAAATCTCACCGTATGTGCGTTTAAATCTTACTGTCCTTCCAGGTAGTGTCTCAATGCTTTATTTTCCGTTCGTTTTTACAACGAATATAACTGCAGTAAAGGAAAACATCAAGGGAAATGAAACCTTTCCAATCCTGAAGTTAGATTGCAGTTGGCGTTATCTAAAATGTTGATTTTCATGCAGTTTTCTCATTAGCTGTTGGTCCTCTGCTGTGATTTAGAACTTACGGCTCCTATATAAAAACTGTGGACAGCGGCGCTAGCCTTTGTTGGTGTAAATGGAAAAGCTAGCCACATCCTCCCCCGATGGGGGCCAGTGCCCCCCACCCCGCTGTGCCCTCTCTCCCCCCATGCTCCTCCCACCCCCTTGCAGGCCCCTGTCGGGGTGTGTACTCACTGAGGAGAGGGGGCAGCCAGTTCACGTTAACCTCACAGTGCGAGTCCAGGAAGGTCAGCACTTCCCCTCTGGCCATGGACGCTCCCAAGAGTCGGGTGCGAATGAGCCCTTCCCTTTTCTTGGTGCGAACAATTCTCACTTTGGAAAATCGGGCCATATATTCTTCTAACTTCTCCTTCAAGTGTTCTGGGAGGGAAGGAGGGAGTGCACAGAGAGAACACGAAGCATTAGTTGCAGGCGACTCGATCACGGGGGTGATCATAGAGAATCTGTGAACCATGGCTCCAAGTTTAAGTCCGTTTTTCTCTTCATCTGGAGGGAAGCTACAAATAAGATTTTATGCTTTGAGGTTTTTATACTTTGTACTTTCCAGAGTGCTTCATACACTGCAAACACCGGTCACGGAATGCTGACCATCAGCGCTCACTGCGGGGTTGCTGTGGCGAAGCTGCAACCTCTAGTCATCCCTGCCTCGTGCGCGGGCTGGGCGTTTGGGCGTCCCGGGCTCTGCTTCCTGTTGGGGAAGTCGCGGGACGCGCCCGGCCGCTGGCCCTGTGCGGCAAGCCTTGTTCTGTGTGCTCAGTGTTGAAAATAAAGCATGTAGAACCAGCAGAAAAGGAAAAAGTGGCGTCAACAAGAACCAAACAGACCTTCTCCCCCTACAAAGTGGCAGCAAGCTGGAAAGCAAGTCTAGCATCCGGATGCTAATTTGATATTTCTACTCCTAATTAAAAGCAAACAGTGGGGATAGAATCACAGCAGATAACTTATTTTTAATCTCAGCCAGTGTAAATGACCAAGATAAACATACTCCTCAAGGCTCCCTGGTGGTACAAGGGGTTAAGTCTCAGCACTATGAAGCTCTCCAGCCACTCCAGCAAGAGTTCGATCTCTGGCCAGGGAGGTGACTCACATGGTGCTGCAGACCTCTTCTGTCTCTCTTGCTGCTCCCCTCAGCAGTGTATTTTACTAGGTCGACCTGTTCTGCTCCCCACTCTGTCTCTGGTGAATCCTCTCACCACCCCTGCACCTCTGGCCTCTACCCCAATTCTGTATGCATAAATAAATAAATCTTTAAAAAAATTAAAAAGAGGAAAGTAGGTGGGCTTCTATATACTCACTAGGAAACTTGCTATTTAAGATTAAAAATAAAACTTTAGAAATACGTCTGCTCCTAATTAAGAGCAAACAGTGGGGATAGAATCACAGCAGATAACTTATTAGAATAAAGCATTTCTGCCCCTCCCTGGTGGCGCAGCGGATTAAAGCGCAGCACTGAGAAGCTGGCCTTGACTGCTTTCGTGCAAGTTGGATTCTGACCCCAGAGGTGACCCACATGACGTTTCAGACCTCTCCTGTCTCGCCTGCTGCTCCCCTCAGCAGTGTGCTTCCTCAGTCTGCCTTTTCTGCTCCCTGCTGTTTCTGGTGAATCCTCTCACCACCTCTGCATCTCTGGCCTGTACCCCAGTTATGTATGCACAAATAAATAAATCTTAAAAAATTGTTTTAAAAAAGAATAAAACATTTCCACTGGCTGGAATAAAATGTATCAATCTCTCAGGCTTTCCATGGGGATATGTACTTATATAATCTGTATCCTCTGCTTTCATTCTTCCATATTGAAGGCATTATAAGGGCTTTATTGGAGTTTTTGGAAACAATCTTAGTATGCAGTGTGCTCTGTAGTTTTCTCTTGGAAACTTTCTCTACATGTCTGCTATCCAAGGCAATATTATTATTACCTCTCCGATGATCTGTAGTCACAGGGATTCATGGAAAGATTTTTGTGACCCTTCACTGCTATCCAATTTAGCAGATGTCAGAATTTCTCTGCACTGGATTTTCTCTGTACCTAAGAGTTTATTGTTATTCTTATTGCTTCTTATTACTAGTCTAGTGCTTTTCAAATTCCTCAGTTTCCCTTTTTTCTTGTCTGCCCTTTATATTTTACAAATGGGCTATTTAAAGAATTTTTAGTTTTCTGATTGTCATTGTAAAGGAAGGCTGGCTGGGCGTGGGGTTTTCACACGAATTCTTTTGTTTTATACTATGTTTATTGAGATAATATTGATCTGCAACTTTGTATATGTTTTAGGGTCTCAAAGTATGTGCCCCCCTATTTTGTTCTCCTTGAAATGAATAGAGATATGGAGACAGAGTACAGAAAGCAGTGGCAACCGGCTGGAGAATCCAGAGACTTGCTGGGAGGGTTCAGCTGTGCAATAGAAGAGTGATGCCTCTAAACTCTCTTCTCAATTTCCTCACCTGCAAAAATAGGGAAGCTGGGGGATTTTACTCCCCACTTAAGAGTATGATGCCTGAGCAAGATTTTGGTTAGAGACCTGAGAGTATTCAGTGTTCGTTCAATAAACAGTAAGAAAATAATTTTAGACTGCAGTATGTCACTTATATTTAGTACATAGGGATGAAACTGAGGAAAAGCTTTGGAATGGTAAGCCTGAAAAGTGAAAAAGATAGGATTTTCTAGTTCTTAGTGAGAGTTTGATAATTTGTCATCTTCTGTGTATTGCAAATTTAAAGAAAAAGCTTTTGGCCAGTCATAAGCAGATAGGAACATACGGTGTCTAACTACGTATGCCAGGAGGCTGGCTTCGCCTTCTCTCTCTACCTCCTGCCCCTCTCCCTGGGTTATTCCTCCCCTGTTCTTTACTGTGTGTTCTGGGCTGATGCCAAAGGTCTCGCCACCACACCGTCACCTGTGACTAAGACTGGCGCTTTGCCGCCCTGTTGGGGACACAAAACAGAGCCCCGTGCCCAGCGTGTAGTCAAAGGCAAGGAGTAGGTGCTGAGTGATGGATCCCAGAGCTGAGCATGTGCCAGTTTCTCAACCCAGGGTCCCACCAGGAGTTCCCACAGCAATAAGTGTTTAAGAAAACCTTATACTCCCTTTACTGTAATTTATTCAGGCACTGAAGTCCTCTGTGACAGCCATTTACAAACGAGTCCTTCTCTACGTCTATTTGTAAATCGGTTGTTTGTACCACAGAATGTACTGTCTCCTGGAAAGTGTCACGACAGTTATTAAGAACTGAAAATAGATCATGAATATCTGTGAAAGCCACCAGAAACATTTTTTTTCTTTTTCTTTTTCTTTTATTGATGGTTTCTGATACTATGTAAGTATCAGAAATATAACATCAGGAATATCTATAATACCACAACCCACTGCCAGTTTGACTCCTCTACCTTCCCCTTCTCCTCTAGTAACTGCAGCCATATTGTTGCCAGCACTGAAGTTGTTGTTCTGTTTGTCCTTTTGTTTTGTCTCTTAATAGTTCACTCATTTTGTGGGATCATCCAGCATCTCTTTTTTAAGAAGATGAGGGTATAGATTACATGGTAGCATATTACACAGGCATCAAAAAGGATGAAATCTTGACTTTTTGCAATAACATGGATCACCCTTGAGGTGATTATGTAAACCAAAATAAGAAAAGATTTTTCTTTATTCTTTTACTTCATGGTTCTTTTGTCAAATGTACTCAATGAGTGCTGTTTGGCAGAGCAGGTACCTTCACTTCTTAGTGAACCTTAAGAACCAAAGGTAGGGGGAAGGTCTCTTAGGGAGAAAGAGTAATTCTCTTGGGAAACATAGGAGGAAGTGCGTCCAGAAGATAGATCCACCAGATATCCAGAAGTAAGAATCAGAGTATGGTCTGAGGATGGTCATCTTGAGATCCGGAGTCTCTTGAACACTGTTTATAGAAAATTCTTTGAAAAGGTAGTGGGAACCATCTTCCTTTCCTCTATGCACACATGCTGAATTTTTGTTGTTGTTTTTTTTAAAGCCCATTTCAAGGTATTCAAAGGATTGTATCACATGAATTTACTAACAAAAGGGGTTTGACCTTAAATAGAGTCCACCAAATGTTCAGGTCAGTTCCTCCAGGTTAAACTTTGTGGTGATAATTAGGGAGCTTTGCCTTACAATAATGATTCAGTCCACTGCCTCTTTCTCTCTTAGTAGTTCAGTTGTAACATCTAATTACCCATAACTCACAATGAAGACAGGTCTCATCAGTCTAATTAGCAAATCTGACTCATTCAAGAGAATTATGGGGATGGTGGCAATGGCTTTAAATTAAAAGCATTTTGTATTTTTTTTATAGGAACAGTTTTTAGATCATTTCTAAGCTATTATTCAAGTGATTTTAAACATGATTTTATATTAATCCAAGCACAGTATCATTGAAGAGTCCCTTTGAACTCATTTAATGTTAAATAATAAGAGAATTTATATAATTTTTATAAAACAATTTTCTTTAATGACTATGAGACATTTGCAGAACCATTATAATGTTTTTGGTTGGTGGACCTTCACTGTAAGTGGATATTTTACTGTTATAAACCACTGAATGATATCCCAATTACCTGAAAGAGTGGCCACAATTTCAGATAACCCAGGTTTTGCCAGCATTTAATTTCAATAATAATAATAATGAAAAGTTGTATTCACATAAAACTGTGGTGTCTTGCTGCTGCAAATATTAAATTTAGCAGCTTACTGGCTGCTTTTTTTTTTTTTTGGATCTTGCCTATGCATGTGAACTTTTATAGAGACTGTATCATTCATTAGTGAGCTTAGTGTCTCGGGTAGCAACTAAACACTCAAGATATCACCTTAATTATTGCACATTCAGGAATCAAGCACATGAAGTCTATATCTGTTGCTGGCTAGGCCCATGCCTTTGGATAATCACATCCACATCCTACCTTTCAGCCCCATTTCCTCAGGTATAAGGTAAAGTGAATGTGATTGATCTTATATTCCTTCTAGGTCTATGATTCTCTGATGTCACTTGTGAAATTTTCCTGATAGAGCAGATGGGGTGCTGTCAAATACTTCAGGTTTCCTCAAAATCTTTCTCAAGATTGGTATTTCACTGTTTCCTTGGGCTGTGTCCCAGCTTTGAAAGCGGGAGTCAAATGAAAATAAAGCTCACATCTCTCAGAGGCTTAGTCCAAAAGCAAACTCCAGGGGATTTTCTTTGGTCAATACAGGCTCTGTCTAATCTTCTACAGTTCACTGCCTATAAGATTGTCAATGATGTCAAAATAATGACTTTGAAGCATTATAACTTCATCAAAGATTTAAGTCTATTCAGTCAGCTGTGTTTACTATGTCAGAAAAGTTTGGTAGAAGTTTTAAACAGTTTTCTTGTCTA